GAGCCAATGCCCTGACTTGCTCCTCACTGACTCTCTTAAGGAAGCCCGTCTACTACACCGAGAGTGGGATCGGTTGCAGTTGCACCAAGAGGTGGTCTACCGAAGGGGCCCCTCTGGAGATCCTGGAGAAAGATGGCAGTTGTTCCTGCCAGAAAAACACAGAGAGACAGTATTAACTGCTTTGCATGATAGTCATGGTCACTTAGGACCCGACAGGACCTTCCACCTGGTGAGGGACAGATTCTACTGGCCCTGCATGCAAGCTGAAGTTGAGGGTTACTGTCACTCCTGCATTAGGTGCATCCAAAGGAAGACTTTGCCTCACCGAGCTGCCCCAATGGGCCACCTTCAGAGTCAGGGACCCATGGAGCTGGTGTGCATTGATTTTCTAAGCTTGGAGCCTGATTTGAGTGGACAGGGAAATATCCTAGTAGTAACTGATCACTTCACTAGGTATGCTCAGGCTTTTCCCACAAGAGACCAACAAGCACTCACGGTGGCCAAGATCTTGGTGGAAAAATTCTTTGTGCACTATGGTCTACCTCAACGCATCCATTCTGATCAAGGGAGAGACTTTGAAAGCAGTCTCATCAAGAAACTGTTAGATCTTTTGGGCATCAGGAAGTCTAGAACCACCCCATACCATCCTCAGGGAGATCCCCAACCAGAGAGATTCAACAGAACCCTCTTGGATATGCTTGGGACTCTGACTTCTGAGAAAAAGCAGCACTGGAGCAAGCACATAGCAGCTATCGTGCATGCTTATAACAGCACCACAAACGATCCACAGGATACTCTCCCTATCGTCTAATGTTTGGGCGAGAGGCCCGGCTGCCAGTAGATTTGGCTTTTGGCACATCCATAGACCGTACCTCTGCAACCTCACACAGAGGATATGTGGACCGCCTGCGGAAAAGTCTGAAGGCTGCCTATGACAAGGCCCAAGCTGCCTCAGATGCCCGAGGACAGAGAAATAAAAGAAACTTTGACCTCCGGGTACGAGTGCAGGACTTACAGCCGGGTGACAAGGTGCTGCTGAGAAACCTGGGTGTCCCTGGAAAACACAAATTGGCTGACCGGTGGAAATCGCAGCCCTATGTCATCTGCAAACAGCTGCCAGGACTCCCAGTGTACCAGATCCGGCCAGAGGGAAGCACAGGCCCGCTGAAAACTTGGCATCGTAATCATTTGTTGCCTCTATCTGAAGCAGTTCGTGTGCCACTACAGCCAGATCCACAGTCATCATCCAGGGCCCCCCAGAGATCTCGGCCAGTGACTCGGTTTCAGTCTGTGCTTCAGCCTGCAGAAGATGGATACAGCGAAGATGAAGAGATGGGAATGGATTGGCTGTGGTTGTCTCAGATGCTTGAATCTGCTATCCCTCCTTCTCCTGCCACAGTAATCGACACCGGGATACTCAGGCCAGAAGCTCCTGAGTTTGTGCCTCAGAGTCCACTAATTGAAGAGCTGGAAGACTCTCAGTCCTCTTTGCTGACAACAGACTCTGCAGACTTCCCATCCTTCATTGAAGAGGAAGTTAGGGATGAAGCTAAAATTCAGGGATAAGAGACCAGTGTGCTTGCAACCCCAGAGCCTAAAGAACAGCGAGAGCGTAGGGTTATTCACCCGCCAAAGAGACTAACATATGATACTTTGGGTGAGAGCTCTGAAGAGGTTGTTCTCACCGCTAAAAGGACTCTTGAAGCACCTGATCCTCCCACCACAGATTTGGTGGTTGAAAATCCTGACTCACCCCTGACACATCTGGCTGGGCAAGTCCAATTAAGGTGGCTTATAGGCTACTAACTGGTGGGAGGTTCCCCTGCCAAGATTTTATGAGAATGTAAATTGTTTGGTTTCCTGTGTGTACTAACTTGTTTTTCTCCGCCTGTATATATCAAGCATGTACCAGGTCAAGGATTGTTACTGCCTTTGGAGGACCAAAGGTTCTTTGGTGGGGGAGTGTGTAGCAGGAGATATTAATCCTGTCTCATGGCTGTGATCTGCTGACTGGCCTCTCCTGTGTAACCTGACACTTGCCCTGACACAGACAAAGCAGTGAGGGATTTCAGCCCCCCCTTCAGCCCCCAGACTGTAAGAGAGTGAGAGAGCCAATTACAAGAGCCATTAAAGGAGCCAATGACAAGGACTCTGTCAAACAGGAAGTGCAGGTGCAAAGCATTGTGGACGATGGAGTCTTGAACCGAAACGGCCTTATAGGCTAATATGGAGATAGAATTATAAAAGAACTACGAAAGCCATCATGCTGAGGGAGAGCAGAGTGAAGGGATCCATCTTGGGGTTTTTTTCTCCTGAGGAGAGGAGACTGCATGTGGCAGCAGAGAGATTGGACCTGGCAAAGAAGTGCTTTTGGGCAGTGCACTGCATGCTTAGTGATCTGCATCAGCCAAGGGAACATCCAAACTGAGAGAAGTGGCTTACAGTACAGAGGCCATCCTGACAATGTGAAGTGCTCATCCTGAGGTGACCAGAGGAACCTGTCATTTCCAGGACGATCATTTGGGCCTTTGTCACAGGATCTGGTGAGAGGGATTTTTCCCACTGTCAGATGACAGGAACACTGCACACATACTGCATCATACCTTGCTCAAATTCACCAGGCACTGGGTTGTGTAGATGGCCCTGCTGAACAGACACAGTATTCGCTTTGCTATACAAATACTGCCACTGGATTACAATTATACTTTAAGTGTTTAAGGAGTTTAAGTGCACCAACGAAAGTGGCTAGCTGAAGATCCCAAGATTCATCCTGTTACCAAGAGACTGAAGTTACTGGTGCCATACGGGCACGCGCATGCGTATTTAGGCCTCTATATTGCATGGTGTGTGAGGGATTAGCTTTACCTTGGAAAGCAACTATTAAGCATCATTTGGATACAGTGTTTGCCTATTGGGCTTGTGGTGTCGGGGGTTAGAAGGGAGAAGTTTGACACAATAGAGTCATTCTTCTGCCCTCCTCCTGCTTGGACATCATAGAGCCGAATCTATGTAGAGGTGGTAATTCCACTTTCAGGTTGCCATTTAAGTGTTTCCTCTGCTCTTGGGGTTAATTCATGGTTGGAATCCCCTGAAAGCAGCCTGAGTGTAAAAGTGAGTTATATTGCTTTCGGTCACAGTATTTGCTGTTCTCTTGATTCTCCTAACATATACCTGTTGTTAATGTTTATTACTTCCCATAGAGGTCTTACAGTAAAGCTGATCTCTGTGTTTTATTATAACATGTGTGCTTTTCATTGATCCTTGCACTTACACTATTGCCAGGTGTGCCAGTTGGGGCTGAGACAGTTCTTGGGGTTGAGAAGCAGAGTGGCGGAGTGAACAAACTTAAGCAGCCCCTACGGGGGTATCGCTACACACATTAATACAAATTTTTAGCTGGGGTGCCCAAACTTTCGATCCCCACTGTATAACCTTCACCATCCTATCCAAAACTAACTTTAAATTGTTCATTGATAATTATTCATGTCTAGTGAAATACAATCTTGGTTTTAAATGTGTTAGGCCTCTTTCACATGGACGTTCCGATCGGTTCCGCCTGCCCGTTTTTCAGACGGACCCGATCGGAACCTCCATTCTCCTCTATGGAGCGGTGGGTGTAAACGGACTTATGTCCATTTACACCCACTGACATCCAATCCACCTACAAAAAAGGGATGGATGGGGATCCAATTCCCCTTCCGCCCGTCAGATCGGGTCGGATGGAAACGGACAAGCGGTCAGTTTTCATCTGACCGCCCATTGAGGAGAGCGAGCTGCTCTGTGTCCTCTCTGCAGCAGTGGAGCAGACACAGACCTGTCATCCGCTTGCTCAGCAGGGATCAGCGGAGAGATCTCCCGCTGAGCAAGCAGATCCGCTAAACAGATCCAGTCCATTTTTTTCATCAGTTCACATCACTTTTTCATCAGTTCATATCCGTTTTTCATCCATTTAAATCCATTTTTCATCAGTTTTTTATCTGATTTTTACATCCTTTACCAATGCAAAAACAGATGCAAAAACAGATTGTATGTCCGTTTACATACGTTTTTCATCCGTTTACATCCATTTTTCGTCCGTTTACATCCATTTAGATCAGGTTTTCATCCGTTCTGTTTTTTTTTTACAGAAGAAAAATAGTTTTCTTCCATTCAAAAAAACAGATGTTAACAGATGTGGCCATTAATGGATGTAAACAGATGATCATCCGCTTACAACCGCTAGTCCATAGAAATATATGGGTGTCCGTTTTTCATCCGTAAATGGACAGATGTAAAACGGACATATGGAAAGCTTGTGTGAAAGGACCCTAAGTGTTTGGAAAAGCATTGAAAAGTGCATGGAATCAGCCCAATAAAAGTGTTATGCTATAATGTTCTTATGTACAAAACTACTACAGAGGATCTAACAATAACCTGCTCTTCCAGCAAAAAGCACCAATTTTTCAACGCCCTAGCAAAAGTGAAGGTGTCGTAAATAGATTAATTTTTTCAAAGAAAAATGAACCCCAAACATTTATGCTTCTATTTAATCCTAGACAATCCTGTTAATTAATCAGTGGTTTTTATTTCATACTGCTTCTCAAAAATGTCATATATACTGTAAACTGTGCTTTGTAAGTGTGTTCAGAAACACAATTACTGTAATATATTGCAGATAATATAGTGCAGATAGCTGTTTACATCTATAACCAGGGAAAATATTGGATGGCAAACATTAGAAAGTGTCCTATGCTGATAACACATGATTTTTCAGGTTGTTTCTTCTACAATGCAGCAGGCCCTACCAATGAGTGATGTGTGTATCCCTGACTCCACAAAAAGGTCAGTTATTTTTGCCTGGACACTCCCTACCACAGCAACATAGCAGAGCTGCTTAATCAAAATCCTGAAATAGAAGCCCCTACCCTTCGTTTAGTCTTCTAGTTAGCTGGCTGTAAACTGCTAGAGAACATATTCCTGGTCAGACAAGAAGAAAATCCGATTTGAATATTTTCTGATTGATGATGAAGTTAAGCATTGGAATATTTTTTGGTGGTCTTTTTGGCGCTCTTGGAATTTTAGTTTTTTTGGTAGCATTTGGATCCGACTACTGGCTTCTTGCCAAAGAAGTTGACAAATGCTCAGGAAATCAAGGGGCTGAGGTTAGTGTTACTGTTTTGTAGTCTGCCTGGCATTTTTCAGAAGTGGCTGCCCCTGCTTATTATGTTCTGATGTGAATGGCAACTGCTTTATATGTTTACATTCTAAAGATTTAGTACTGTAAATGAATATTCAATAAACCAATTATATTTTATGTTGTGCATTCTCTATTCTATAGGGAACTGATCCAGCCCTTTTGCACCATGAGGGTTTCTTTTGGAGATGCTGGTTTACCACGGATGCAGGATTAGATAACAACAGCATGGCAGCTTTTTGGATTAGTAAGATATCATATATTTCATTTAACAGTTGTCTAACTCTGCATGCAAAAATGTTAAAATATTTTTTTTCTTTATGTATCGTAATTATCCTGTAGTGTTACCATTTTAAGTTGTATGGTAAGTACATACGGATCATTTTAGTATGGTTATCTAGTTAAAGTGACAGAGAAAAGTGCCAAAATGAGTATAGATCCCATCTTTGAGAAATGAGATGCACTGGTATTATCAGGAGCTATCTGTAATGATTTATAAATTGTTTGATCTAATGCATTTAAAAAAAAATTACCTTAAAGTGATTGTAAAGGTTTAATTTTTATTTTATTTTAAACTGCAAACATGTTATACTTAACTGCTCTAGCAATGGTTTTGCATGGAGCAGCCCCTATCTTTCTCTTCTGGGGTCCTCTGTCGGTGCTCCTGGCTCCTCCTCCTCGCCAAGTGTCCTCATAGCAAGCCGCTTACTATGGGGGCACTCTTGCATGCTTACTGCATAAGATGCACAGAGCGGGGCTTGGCTCTGCACTCTGCTCCCTCCCTACTGGCTGTGATTGACAGCAGTGGGAGCCAATGGCTCCCTCTGCTGTGTCTGAGCCAATGAGGAGGAAGAGAGCCAAAAGAGCTGGATCAAGATCGGTCTCAGGTAAGTATACGGGGGGACTGAGCTGCAAAAAGTTTTTTACCTTAATGCATAGAATGTATTAAGGTAAAATACTTTCTGCCATTAGAAACACTTTAAATAGTTCTCCACTTAAAGGTTTTGCATTTATGTATAATGCAGGTTGTCCCAGCTATCTGTGGCTTGAGACCAAGGGCAGGCTGATGCTAAATGGGATCCATGGTTTTTGTATCATTTACTTTTATCAGTGTGAAACCATTCCATTTTCTGCAGTAGACTTTCTTGATGTCTGACTTAAAGTGATATTAAACCTTATTTTTTTATATTTTAAAATTCAAATAACAATCATGTCTATACTTACCTGCTCTATGCAATGCATTTGCACAGAGCAGCTTAGAGCCTGCTCTTCTGAGGTCCCCTGCCGATGCTCTTGGCCCTTTCTCTTCGGAGGGTGCTTCCATGGAAAGCTGCTTTCCAATGGGGGCACCCATGCGGACTCGCTCCCAAGCTGCCTTGTCTGCGTCCATTGACACAGAGCGGGTGGCGGCTCAGCTCCCGCCCCCACTCCTATGTCTCAGCATTTGATTGACAGCAGTGTTAGTCAATGAGGAGGGAGACAGTAGCTAGAGCTGGATTGGATAGGGCTCAAGTAAGAAAAAGGGGGGCTGCAGCACAGAAGGTTTTTCACCTTAATGTATAGAGTGTATTAAGGTGAAAAACCTTAAGGCTTTAGAACCACTTTAACTCATGACATATAGGGGGTGGAGCACTCAGAATCTGATAGAGCTGTGCATGGTAGCCAATCAGCTTCTAACATCAGCTTGTTCAATTAAGCTTTGGCAATAAAACGTGAAAGCTGATTGGTTTCTGTGCAGAGCTGCACCAGATTTTTAGTAAATACCCCCTCCTGATTACTAGCGACTATATTTATGCTTTATTTTTGTACACACTTGAAATACAGTATTTTTCTAATGTGATTCAAAAGTGCCTTATGTTAAATTTCTTTTTTTGTATATTTTCATGTTTTTTTTTCTTTCTTTGATATTCTGCATGCTCAGAGGATACAATTGAGCTGTATTGTCTCTTGCTTTTCTGAACAGACCCTCTTGGATGTGTCCACTATACTCTTGTTTTTATACCTGCTTTTCATACTTTTTTGCATAAAAACGTTTGTAAATAAAAAAGAAACCAAGGGCAGTGTTCCATAATGCAGGAAGTTTATTCATCAATATTTTTTTAGTTCTATGGACTGCTTGCTGCAGATCTAGGTCACTGAATGTCTAGTGCTCTCCAGGGTTTATATCAGGGGTGGACGACATCATGGGGCCCCGGGCAATTTACGAGGCCCCTGTGTCATTGAAACTCAAAAAAGCCTATGAAAAAGGCCGGGCAATAGGGGATACTTGTGGCAGGTACTCCATCATACTGTGAGTGCCCGAAAATGACTGCCTTACTTGTGGCAGACTCCATCATTTTGCAGTGACTGCTTTTTTCTTTTTTTTTTAGACTTTTCCTTTATTTTCACCTGGTGATCTGGTCAGTAATACACTTCCTGTATTAGATGGAGGAGTAATGACAACACCTTTGAACAATGGCATTGTTAATTTGGAAAGTGGGTTGTGTTAGATGCAATAGCAGATTTTGATGTAATAAACTAACAAATTAAAGCCTAATTCCAACTAACACTTTTTGAGCAGTCACAGAAACTGATTTTTTTTTTCTTTTGGATATAGCAACCTGACCATGTAAGCAACCCTGTGAGCTAAATTGTTTGTCTTAACATTCAACAGTTTGTTAACCACTTCAATATCGGGCACTTATACCCCCTTCCTGCCCAGGCCAATTTTCTGCTTTCAGTGCTGTCACACTTTAAATGACAATTGCACGGTGATGCAACACTGTACCCATACTTTTTTCACACAAATTGAGCTTTCTGTTATAAACTTTTACAAATAAATAACATTTATTTATAAATGTAGGGCAAAACGTATTCTGCTACATTTCTTTGGTGAAAATAATAATAATTGAATTTAATATGTATTTTTTTCAAATGTTTTTATATTTTTTTATATTTTTATTGCATTTTTTCACTATTTTATTTTTCAGCACACTGTGACCAAAGCAATACATTGTTACCATAGTAACATTGAACTACTCTGGGCAAGTGATCAGGATTTTTATTTTTTTTTTTACACATTTTGATTGCTAATACCAATGCATTTCATTGATATTTGCAATCATTGTTACTGATTGAAACTTATTCATTCAGTCTTTTGTTGTGATTAGCTGTGATTGGGCAAAGCTGATTACATGATACAGATGGGCTGTGATTGGCCCTGTCTTTATCATGTGACTGCCTTGTCCAGTCACAGCTAACAACATAATGGTATACAATGGATGGCATGACAGGAAGCCGTCCATTGTATAAAATTGACATGTGATCTGCTATGATTGGTCATAGCGGTCACATGACACTGGGCCGGTGTAGTGATATGTCCCATGGACACAGCCGGTGACAGATCGCGCCGCTGCGCAGCCCCGCAGCCGCGTGAGCGGCACGTTGTGACAGGACGTCATATGATGCCCAGTCACAATGGCGAGTGTCCCGCCCGGCAGTCAATCTGCTATTGGCTGGGTGGGAAGGTGTTAAAGGAAGCTGAAAAATTTCAGACTGGTAAGCTGCAATATAATACATTTTTTGTTTATAAGCACTTTAGGTATACTTCCTCCAAAGTAAAGAACTGTAGAGGTTTTTAAAATAGGTGAAAATGTAATAAAACGGGAGTGCAAAGAATTTGGTGCAGCTGCGCAAAGTAACCAAATCAACTTCCAGGTTTTATTGTTAAAGCTTAATTGAAAAAGCTGAAGCTGGAAGCTGATTGGTTACTATGCACAGCTCCACTAGATTCTGAATGCGCCATTTTTCTAGTGTTTTTGCAGAAAGCTGTTTCTTTTACTTGGTCGGTACCATGAGCCACATTTTCAAAAACAAGAAGATTAAGTGTAAAATGTTACTGTATAGTGCTACTTGATTGCTTATCTGTTTTTACTCAAAGACACCCCTTCATCTTTGTTTAATAGCACATCTTGTTCATATCATGTTCAGGCACAGTAGGTTCAATAAATTGCAGCTTTGTATTTAGCATATTGATAGCCATCCACTTTTATGTTCTTTAAGGACAGCGATAAATATGCAAGCTACATATTTTATCCTCGTTTTCTTGAAGCAGCAAGCTTACCGAAATGCAGATGTTTAAAAAGCCAGTCTAGCCTTCATCTATAACTTCATTAATTGGTGTATTCATGAACAAATATAGATCTGTTATTGTCAGTTTTATAAAATAGCTATCTACCCTGTTAAAAATAAAATAATGAGCAATCTACATAATAACTTTTGATGATTCATTTAGGAACTAGTATTATTAGATAAACTCACTGAAAAACCACTGTTCATTATATATTAGTCTTTCTCACATGTTGTTATGCACCATCCCTGTTCTCATCCCAGCAAAGGACAGCGAGAAGTCAGCCAAATTGATCCATCCTACATGATAGCAGTTCAGACATTGGCAAGGATCTCTTGCACTGTTTTTCTGCCCATACCTAAATGATAGTTTTATTGTACTGCCATTGTTGGGTGCAAAAATGTATTATTATTCTGAATGTGAGCTTATGCAGACGTTTGTAAATCCCATGAATATATCCTACTACATTTTAGTGCATCTTTTTTGTTTTTCTATTTAACATCAATCTTGTGACAATCTAACATTGCTGGAAAGGAAACTATAAATGGAAAGTTCAGGGAGTGGACAAAATAACTGAAATACCACATGGAAAAGTAGTGTAAAGCTAAAATCCAGGCAGATAGCTAAATACTCAGATAAAATAATATATACTCAGATTTGTGAAAAGATCTGTAAATCCATTTAACCTACTTTTGCAGTCAAGGCACCCTTGTCAGACTACACAGGCAGGCCGTGTAGTTCCCTGCAGACTGCACTGCATTTAGGCTGCATGTGAAAGGACTCACAATATGCTAGCCTGTGTGATAAATAATGAAGATTTAGAAGCACAAGGAGTATTTTTATGTTCCCCCTTCCCCCATAAGTAGGTCCCTTTTTAAAATTGTCTGCATACATAACAAAATGTAAACCCTGTCTTAGCCATTTCCAGTTGGAACATGGCCGAACCCTGTCTTGTGTGCATACATGGAAGATTCCATTAATTCTTTTAAGGTGGCCATTAATCATACTTTCCAAAGTTAGTGGTTCAATAATAATCAATACGTTTTTTTTATCATGTGAAGAAGAAAAGGTCCAGCTGGAAAGTTTTTAGTGGCAGCTGTGCAGCTACCTCTGGGCTGCCCATTGTGGATTGGGAAGGATTATGGACAGTATAAGGTGATGGAGGAGTGGCTGGATGTTAGTTTTAAAGAGAAACTCCAGAATTAGAAAAAAACAAAAAACAAAAACTCTCAGTGGGGTTCCCCCCAACAGGGTTTAAAATGTTAATTAATTTTAGGGATATCAGAAGAAGCTTCACTGCGTCCTCTTCTCCCTGTGCTCTGTGCTGTGGGTGGCTTCTTGGTATCATCACATACAGTGCAGAGCTCCTAGCCTGCATTGTCCATAAAGGAGGTCAGCTTGCAACCGAGGTCAGGAGCTTCTTGAGGCAGCATGAATGCATGGATTGAGGAAACCTACTTATTCTGACTCAACTACAGGATGCTAAACCTTATCTCCCACGATGTATACAGCTATACCACCTGGTGTTGAATTTATCCCTTGCATTGGGTCAGATAGTTTAACTCAATAAAAAAACTCACATGTTGAGGAAGTCAGATGAGGAAACCCATTTGAATGTTCCATTTAATGGCGAATATTCATAGATAGAAAAACGTTAGTGTTGTAGCCTCATGGAAGGTGCATTCAGGAAGACAGGATACAGTAGAATGATTATAGAGAGAGGCAGGGGGGAGGAGTATACACAAGTACGGTGAGAGAATGAGCTCAGCTTAGACAGAAGGAGACAGCTTAAAGACACAGAGCAATGATAAACAAGTGATGGTCACAGAGAAATTATAATAAATCAAATAGTGTAGCACAACACTGCTGGAGCCAGTGTGGGGGCTCCCTCTGTAAGATTTTTTTTTTTTCGCAGCCCAGAGTTCGCGGCTCCATAGACACACAGATCAGGAGCAAGCAGACATCATGTGCCTCCATAGCAAATGGCTTGATATGGGGACACACTAAGAAGAGGAGGAGCCAAAATTGCCGGCGAGGAACACGAAAAGAGGAGGATCGGGGCTGCTTTGTGCAGTACCATTGCACAGAGCAGGTGAGTATAACATGTTTGTTATTTTAATTTAAACAGAAATTAGCTTTTAGTAACACTTTAATAGATTTTTTGGCCAGAATATTCATTTATTCTGGCGATTGGAATGCATTGACACTCAAATGCCCAAATGTGTCTAAATGCGTCTAGAATTTTGCATTGAATCATTTTTTCTGTTCAAAAGTTGCTTTTCCTGAATGCGTTTTTGATGGGGGGGGCATTCTTTAAATGACTATGCATGGATACATAGCTTTTACAGGCTGGAAGGAAAAAAGATGAGTATTTTTAAGCCAGGTATGCATGAGGCCTAATGCACAGGTGATTCCAAGGCAAAGATTTGCTAACATCCTCTCCATATAAAGTGTCCCAGCAAATAAAAAAAAAAAAAAAACTGAACAGTGTATCTACTACATTCACCTGCAGTTCCATTCACTTTAATTATATTTAGCTTGTTATCTGAAATATCAGTGTTAAAGTGTAACTACCTAAACACAAGAACAAAAATGTATTACAATGCAGGTTACCAGTCCATGAATGTGCTTTATTCAGGCCTATTTTCCTTTATTATTACCTGCTATTTTTACCAGTATAACAGTTCTTGTCCAAGGGGGACAACGTTCACTCACTGTACTGTATTTATACTGTATAATCTCCATAACTGGGGGGGGGGGAGAGAGAGAGAGGGGCAGGGGCGGACTGACCATTTGGAAACTCGGGCACTGCGCGAGGACCCAGGGTCAGTAGGGGGCCCCATGAGATGCCCCTGGTACCTTTTTCATAGGCTTTTTTGAGTTTGGGCAAGGACACAGGGGCCCCATGATCCCCTATTGCCCGGGGGCCCCATGAGTTGTCAGTCCGCCCCTGGGGAGGGGGATGTTCCGGGGTTCATGGAGCAAAACTGGGCAGGGCTGACAACACTGCTTGAGATTTCAGTGCAGCAGAGGCAGAGTGCACAAAAAGTAACAAGCTCACTGTGATTTCTGGTGGAATCCACTGGTATTTTTATGTACTTGCAGCATTTGTAAAGAGACTTAACATGGGGAAATGTGCATGCATTGGAGAGATGTACTAAAATGTTATTCCCCCAAATTTAAGAATGGTCTAAAGAATTTAAAATGTTAATTGTCAAATATTAATTTGAAAGCTCAGTTAATTTTTTCTGTTCTCTTTTTATTAAAGCACTAATAAACTGAAAACCAAAGATCTAATATATATCAGCTTACCAATCATGAAATGTAGTGGCTGCATCAATTTTCTTTTCTTACGTTTTACTCCCAGTGTTTTTACCTGGTGATCTAGCAAGTAACACACCTCCTGTATAAGGTCTCATGCACACATCACTTTTTAAGCGCTGCTTTTAGAGGTACTTTGCTTCTTTTTTTTCTGCCCCTAAATGCCCCTCAATGTTAGCCTATGGGGTTGATTTACTAAAGGCAAATAGACTGTGAACTCTGCAAGAGCAGTAGCTCCAGAGCTTAATAAATGAGCAAAAGCTCTGCTGACTTCCATCCAATGATGTGCAAGCAATGATGTGCTTTTTTTAAATTTTCCTTGCACATGAATACGTGGGTATTCCTTGCAAAGAGAATCTTTATCTCATTTACAAAGCTCTGGAGCAATTGCAGAGTGCAATTGCACCTTGCATGGGGCACAGTCTATTTGCCTTTAGTAAATCAACCCCCATGTGTCCATGCGCACATAGGCATTTACAGGCGTTTAGAGGCAGGGACATTTAGCGGCAGAAAAAAAAAAGGGCCAGCATATTCGGGGAGGAGCTTTCAAGCGATGAAAAAATGCTTTATGCACCTAAACATGTGTAAACGCATTTAAACATACTTTAGTGCTAAGTATGTCAAGCGCTTGTATGATCATTCATTCCAATAGCTAGAATAAATTAATATTCTGGCCATTGGAATGAATGAACGACCAAACACTTGATGCTCCTAAACACGCTTGCAAAATGCTGCTTTAGGCATGTTTTTGACACTGCTTTTTCCTCCCCTGGATCATAGGTATCCAGGGGAGGAAAAAAAGCATCCTATGTGCATGGGGCCTTAGAGTACACCTACTCTGGTTGAATGAGCACAGGGGGCACCTTTGGACAGCAGCATTGTCAGTTTGGGGGGTGTGGACGGGAGTGTTAGATGTTCGAGCAGATTTAGATGCACTAACAAATTGAAGCCAAACTCCAGCTAATATTTTATTATAATTTTCAGCAACAGTTTTTTTTATTTTGGGATAAAGGTTTTTCATAAATAAATAAATAAAAGCTGATCATTGTAAGCACCCCTGCTAGTGTTAAATGTTTTTTCTAATCTTTGTAACCGATAAATTCTCCTGGAGAGCTTGTTCTTTTGATAAACAACAGACTTACTGGCCAGATCACCAGATGAAAATAGAAGAAAGAAACCCCAAAAGGGAAAATGCATGCAGCCATCACATCTAAGAAATGGTAGGCTGTAATATAATAAATGTTTGCTTTTGAGTTGAATACCTCGCACTCTTTCTCTTTGGCCTTTTTCTTGCAGTCTTCTAGCCCACCCATTGATGGCACCAGTATTTCCTTTTTTTCTTGGTGGCAGAAGAGGGGGGGGGCAATCTCCTTGGACCAAGCAGTGCTCACCCCAGGGAGGGGGGGGGGGGGGTGACAGTGGCAGGCTGGGATTCTGCCTGCAAAGGACCAGCAGCGATGAATGGAGGAGGAAGCTGGGGACAGTGCTGGAGTGTAGAAAGTAATTAGAGCTTGACAAATTTTTTTAGTTAATAGTAGAGGGGGTAGAAAATAACATAATATTGGAATTCTATTTTACTTAGAAAAATATTTTGTTTCTTTATTATTTGTATAGCCAATCAAGCCCCAACAAAGAACTGCACTCATGCTTACCTGTCTCCATTTCCAAGAAGTAGAGATAACAGTAATTCTACGGTGTACCACTCGGCAGTAGGTATGTATTGCTTTCATAAGCTTGTATTGGATTGTCAATAATACCCGATGTTTGTATTACTAATACAATGCTGATTTTATAAAGTGAAAGGGTATGCTGTATATGCTCTGACCATAGATCTCCTTTAACAGTACCCACACTATTTGTAATTCATAGTTGAAATACCATTTAGGAGAATGTTTTTAGAAGTGATTATCCTAAACCTATAATAATTACATTGTAACAGAAAAGCTCAATATTTAACCTGTAGAAATATCAGAAAGAGGCGTGGAATAAAAGTAGTCTTAAAAGTGTCATATGCTTCAGATTGTTCAGGATGGATTAAATATTTGCTTAGCGACATATAAAAGAATTGTTGAAATAGGAACATTTTTAGGCATGCTGGTTATGGCTTTGTGCGTGGAATACTAATGATTGAGATGTTGTATGGATACAGATGTTTTTCTGTATTTATAAAATTAACTGAAATCTTGTGTTTCTCTTTTGTATTTTAGTATATCGTGGATTTTGGAATATATTTATGCTCCTTGGCGTAGTGACTGTTGTTGCAGGAGGTTTCTTCATCATATGTGCTGCTCCTTTCACAAACCATAGGCTCTACAAGGCTGGAGGGGGTCTTTTTATCACTTCTGGTAAGAAAGGTTGGCAGGTGGTTATACGTTTGCAGATGAGACATAGGCAGCCCATAGATGAGTCAGTTTTTTCTTTTGTTCAGCCAGCAGGTTGAATGAAAAAAAAATTGACCCAATTCCCACATTCACACACTCTGAATGAGGGCATCGTCCCCGCTGAGTTGATGTATTCTGACAGCAGGGATACTTCTTCTCTGTCAAAATACACAGATCAATGCTGCCAGCTATAGCCAGCAGCAATGATCAAGCCAGGAAATTCCTACAGGGCAGTTGCACACAAGTCGATCAGCAAATTAACCTCCCTGCACATACGTGGATCGGAATTTGGCTGGTCCCATCTGAACTGGCTGAATTTCGATCCATGTATGGCCAGCTTTAAAGTACTGTATAACTAAAGACAAAACTTTTTTTAATTTTTGAAGAGAGATTAGTATATCTGTTTATCATTGCGGTCTTGTAACCCCATTAGGAAGATTTATCCTTCCTATTTGTCCTGGTGTCTGTTGTCACCAATTTTGGATTGTCACCAGAACAGGAATAGGGGGAAAATCTTCAAGTGGAGAAACTAGTTCTTTTCACCCTACTAACTACTGAGATTTTGCTCACTTTGGAGGGATTTCCACTCACTTCTTGTGACTATAGGTCAGGAAGTGAAGGAAAATCTCCCCAAAGGTAAATAAAAATCGACAGGGATTATAATCCTCATTTACTCTATCCAAAAAGAAACAAAAGGTTTTGCCTTCAGTTTTACTTTATACAGATAATTCCTGTACAGTATACATTGTTATATTATTATTTGTGCTCATGAATATGGATGTGTGAATTTGCAACTCAGGCTTTCAGTACAGAGGGCTAACTCATAGGGGACATGTCTGACATATCATACATTCATTTCAGAGGCTCTGCATACTTTCTTTATGGCAATGTACAGCACGATTACTGTGCTACATGAAATGTTTTTTGAAGGAGGTAACCTGTAGGCATCTAAAAGGGGAATCTCACCTGATTCTTATTCTTGCGTTAGATGAAGAAGAAGACCCCCCTGTAATATACAGTATTTGAGCAGCAAGTAAATAAACTGCTATTCTTACTGTTGGACCTTAGGAATCTCAGTTCATTCATGTGCTGCTTTATATGGTGTTATGTTTAAATGGTGCTATGCATTGTTACTTGTACACAGTTATATTCAATTAAATATATATGAATACCAGATAGGAGAAATGAGGAATTTTCCACCAATCTCAACCTAATTTTATTTAACTTTGGTATCACTGATTTTCAGTTAGGGTCTTTCCCTCTATAGAGACCGCTGAGTTATCATATAAAGATAAATAATTATATGCATCATTTGACTACTTGTATATTTAGCAGCAGCATTAATACTGTAAAATTAAAATGTAGCATTTAATTTGTAGACATTTATTTATACTGTACAGTCCTTCATTTTTAATTAATAACTGATATTCCAAATTCCCATTTGGCATGCATGTACAGTATTTAAAGGACTGTTAAGCTGTACATGCATGACAAATGGGAATTTGGAATATCAGTAACAAGAGCAATAATTGCAGAGCAGTAGCTGTAATTTCTACACTTTGAATAGGATTTGGATTAAAGATGCTGTGGCAAACAGTCCCAGAGAGCCCAGGGTATAAAGGGATCTTTAAAAAGACTGGTCGCTCCATGCTGAGGGGGGGGGAATTGAAAAATGTACTCCTCTATAAGTGTTAAAATAATGAAGAGTGTATTTACAAGTGGAGGGGCTATTTTTCACCCTAAATAGGGGAGAGAGATGATCAGCTGGGTTGGATTTTCTCAGGTGTACAGTGTACACTGTTCCCCACTCTCTAAGGAAAGAGAAATCTGCAGAGAGTTTTCCTACCATAAGAACGAATTTGAATGCTTGTGTGTTTGTTTGTGTGAAAGATTGTTCCACCAGTCAGGTCAAGCAGAAGTTTGTAGACAGACCCAATGTACTGTATCCTAGGTATCTTTAAGTTAGGAGATTTGTACATATGTGCATGTAACTTCCTTTCTAGATATCATATAGCAGGACGCTACCAATAGTCTTTTCTTGTTGTCTCTATGCCATAACATTTGAGATCCCATGTTCTCCAACACAAAATAATTAAACACTTCCTCACCGCCCTATAGCAGAACTACTGCTACAGGGCAGCAGGGCTGCACAAAATCACGAATATATATGTGATTTTGTATTTCCTGGTAGGGGGCGAATGTGCTTCCCTACCCGCGTCGCCATTGGCAGCTACAGCTGTCAATCACCAGGTCCCTGCTGGAGATCCCCCGCCGCCATCCGGCGATCGTAGAGGAACACTAACAGAGGAGAGATCTGTATGTAAACAATACAGATCTCTCCCCTGTCAGCAAGAGCACACTGCTTTGTATTCCTCTGCATAGCAGAGGAATACAAAGCAGCGTGGTTACACAGTAAATCACACACAGACAAAAATAGTAAAACAGTACACCGCACACAGTTAACCCTTTGATAGCCCTAGATGATAACCCCTTCCTTCCCAGTGTCATTAGTGCAGTGTCAATGCTTTTTATTAGCAATGATCAGTGTATTAGTGTCAGAGGAGACATCAGTGGCAATTAGTTCCCCCTCAGTGTCAGAATGCCAGCCGCAGTCCCGCAGTCCCACAGTCCTGCTATAAGTCGTTGATTGCCGCCATTACTGGTATAAAATAAAAATAAAAAATTCCAGTATATATTCCGCCATTTGTAGACACTTTCACGTAAACTAATTAATTTACACGTATTGGGATTTTTAGGTTTTTTTTTAGCAAAGACGTAGCAAAATACATTTTGGCCTAAATTTATGTCAAAATTTAATTTTTTAAATTTTTTTACTGGATATGTTTTATAGCAAAAAGTCAAAAATATATAATTTTTTTTTCTAAATTGTCAGTTTTTTCTTGTTTATAGCACAAAAAATAAAAAATGCACAGGTGATCATGTACCACCAAAAGAAAGCACCATTTGTGGGGAAAAAAAAGGACATAAATTTAATTTGGGTGCAGCATTGCATGACCATGTAATTGACAGTTAAAATAACAGCACTGTAACGCAAAAACTGGCCTGGTTAGGAAGGGGGTAAATCCTCTGGAGGGCCAGTGGTTAATATAATATGAACTTAAGTTTGGTTAGACTATTGAACTAATACTTACATAACAATGAATGTTTTCATGCAAGGCAGCTTACATGTTAGGTTTATTGGCTCTTCATTTGATTGGGAAGAGGTCTGTTTGTTTTGCTTTGCCCTTGACACTGCACAGTTCTGTACACAACTAAACACAAGTGAGAGCAGCATTATGTTGTATACTTCTTTGGAAAAAAAAAATCTGAAATGTTGCCAAATTGTCTATTACTTTGCATTTCCCCTTTTCCATAGCAATTTTAATTACTTACTGAAATGTTAACATGTGTAAAGCACTCAGCCAACAACCTTGTACACATTACTTCAACCCTGCTTTAAAAACATAAGCCAGAACCTATTGAGTGGCAGCTGTATAACTTCAATTGGCAGAGACTGAAGTTTTCTGTTGTGCCTAGCCCACATTTCTGCAGGAAGCAGGGTGTAAGCGATCTATTTTCTGGCTAAAAATTGAAATAGCAAATAAATGAGATATACTGGATGGAAGAGAAGTAACAAAAGGTGAGAGGGGAACATGAACAAAATTGGAGAAAGCTGAAAAGTATAGTTCTTCCTTATACACTGAGGGACACAAAAAATTCTTAAACCTTCAGGTTGCATTGCCACCTACAAAAGATATGGACACTGGCAAAAATATTTAAAAAAAGGTTTAAACAGCACAGGATAAAGCCACCCACGACCAGTTCCTTCATTTTTTTTTTTGCTCGAGTCCTCAGGAGAGTGGACTTGTTTTCTTCAACTCTAGTGTTCTCTCTTTGGAAGGTTTTTCCACTTTCAGCAGTTGCTGATAGATTAGTGCCAAATACTAAAAATCATGAAGTCTCTCCAGTCAGCCAAAGAGCGTAGTTTTTCCCAGTTTTATTCTGGTGTTCTCCCTGTGTTAACCCTGTATTTCAGGAAGTTTATTCAGTCATCTACAGTTACCGTTACAATCAGGCCAGGTTCAGCTTCCCAGTTTTGGAAATCCAGGACAGCTCTCTAGTTAGCCAAAAGGTTCAGGTTCAGCTTCCCAGTTCATGATCTATACTGCTGTTCCTTCTGCTACAGTTGGCCAGTTATGGAAATCCAGGACAGCTCCCAGTTAGCCAAAAGGTTCAGCTTCCCAGTTCATGATCTATACTGCTGTTCTTTCTGCAACGGTCCTACAGCTGGCCAGTTATGGAAATCCAGGACAGCTCTCCTGTTAGCCAAAAGGTTCAGCTTCCCAGTTCATGATCTATACTGCTGTTCTTTCTGCAATGGTCCTACAGCTGGCCAGTTATGGAAATCCAGGACAGCTCTCCAGTTAGCCAAAAGGTTCAGCTTCCCAGTTCATGATCTACACTGCTGTTCTTTCTGCAAAAGTCCTAAAGTTGGTAATGACTCCCTGTCTGTGGTCCACCTCACACAGAACTTCTTTTCAGGTCAGGCCAGTATGTCTGGGGATTCTCTATGGCATTATTAGTTCAGAGCTGAGGGCAGTTTTCCTGTTTCTGCAACTCAGTGTTGTGAGCACCCAGAAGATTTATGCTAAGTTATGGCTTCCTCTATTTGGTCTTGGGGGTATTAGCAATGGGCAAACAGCTGTAGCTGAATGAACATCTTGTGAGAAGTAATAATTCTTCATATGTTTTATGCTGGGCTTGCATATGCTTTTTGTACTTTGCAAGTTGGGTGCCCTCTGGGTTATTAATTTAATCTTGTGCTTGGGCTATACCAGCAGAATTGTTTACTGTTTTAATTTTCCTTCTCCCTAGTGTAGCACTACCCCTGAAAGAGCCACTGGATTTCGAGCCGATACCCCCACACAGCACCCACAGCCAGGCAACAAGAATTTTTCACTCTT